TTTAGATATATATTATAATATTAAATCTTATTTATCGCGACTCTATTGTATAATATCCTCGCTATAATAAATAAATAGTCTTTTAATATCTTAAAGACTAAGTTTAATTAATATCGAAAGATTCTAAATATAATTTTTAAAGAGCTAAAGAATTAAAAGTATAAGAAAGAGCTTTAGATTTATATAATATATCGATATTATCGTAATTCGAATAGTATTCTTAATAAAAAGTCTATTATTAATAAAATAATATTTATAATAATTATTTATAGCGATAGAACTTAGAGATAATAGATTTATAAATCTTATAAAGATTTTAATAAACTTTAATCTTATTATATAACTTTTTAATATTTAGATTATTAAGAATAATAATAATTCTATTATTATTATTAGACGTAATATTTACGCTCGCTAAAAATATTATAGAAAGAATTATAATAGTTAGAAATACTCTTAAATTAATCTATTATATTAATAATCTTAAAAACTTCGCGAATATATTATCTTATTTTATCTTAAAATCTTATAAGCTAGTTTATAATCGTTTAAAAGAATTAAATAAATAAATTTACTATCGAGTAATCGTTTTAAAGTTTTTTAATTAAATAAAACTAAGTAATAAAGTTAAAATAGAAGAATAAGATATATAGAAAAAGAAAGAAAGATAATCGCGCTTTAGCTTTTATTAATACTTCTTTTAAATTAATAATTATTTAATTTTCTATCCTCTTAATAATAATTATTAATAATCTTATAAATATTTAATTCTTATATTTTAAAGCTAAACTCTTTATATATAGCTATAATTATTACTCTTCTTAACGCTCGATTAATTATATATATAATTATAAAATTATAATAACTTTATATATTTTAAAGTAAAAAATTAATAGTCTAATAAAGATAAATTTAAAAAAGTTTATTAAAGATATAAAGTTAAAGGCTATATCGTATAATTAAAGAGCTTTTAAGAATATAAAAAAGAAGCTATTAAATAAGAGCTATAAATTTTAATATATTTAGAAGTAAAAAAACGATAAATATAAGTATAAATAAGAGATATTAAATATTATATCGAGTATTAAACATAATCTAGTTAATAATATAAAAGTATTTAAGCGTATAAGAAGAAGTTAACTCGCGCTATAATAGTTATAATATATATATTCTTCTCTATAATTCTTATAGCTTAATCTATAAAGTCTATTTTATTTTTTATTATAGGATAAAAGAAGAAAGAATTTAAGAATAAATTAAATTTAAATAAAACTCTTTATAATAACAATAATAATAACGCGCTCTTTTTATAGTTATTTTATATATGTTAATACTATAAATCTATTCTTCTTACTATTTAATAATATCTATTTTATCTTAACTTCTATAATATATTTTACTTTTTTAAAAGAGATTACTTATATTATATCTATTCTCTTACGCGTAAATAGCTATATCTAGAAATTTATTATATTTATTATTCTTCGAAGTATAATATAGCTAAATCTTAATATCTCTTAATTTAAATCTTTAAAATTAAAAATGAGATCTTAATTAAATTTAAATTAAGTGAGTATAAAGAGAAAATACTTTAATAGTACTTCGATTTATATAGTAATATATACGTATAAACTTAAAACTATAATAAATCGAGATATTATTATATATAATAATTAATAGAGAGCTCGCTTTTATTAAAGTTATCATAATAAAAGAGAATATAATCTTATATAAAATCGATAAAGATATTCTACGTAATCGAGTTTTAAAAAATAATTTATAAGAGATAGTCTTCTATAATAAATATAGATAATAAACTCTATCTCTTTAATTATTTAAATTCTTCGTTAATAAAAAGCGCTATATTTAAAAAAAGTCTATTTATACTTTCTATTATCTAAGAATTTTAATATCTAACTAATAAGAGTAATAGAATAAATACTTATTAATTCGTTTATTTACGATTAACTCGTTTAAGAAGATTAATTAATTAACTCACTAATTAGCTAACGTAGTAAACTAGCTTATTTATAAAAAGTACGTTATATTAACTAATAATTCTTCTTATTCGCTTATAAAATTAATTAAAATAATATAAAGCTTTTTTAAATAATACTCTTATCGATTATAAGATTATACTCGTCGAAGAGTATATATATTAACTTATTAAGATATAATATAAAGCGCTTATCGAGGTAATTAAATAGCTATTTTTTATAGAATTAATTAATAACTCTAAAACGTTCGCTAAAGCTATTATTTAAAATAAAAATAAAAATATATAAGATTTAATAAAATCTTATTCTTTATAAAATATATATATTTAAATTATATAAACTAGCGAAGATAATATTGTTATTATAATCTTACTCGAATTTCTTCTAAATTAGAGCTTAAATAAAGTTTAAAATTAATAATAATATAGTTATAGCGATGTAAGTTATATCTATAGATAATAACGCTATTAATTAGAAAAAAGCTATATTATATATTTTAATCTAAAAACTATATATAACTTTAAATTTATACGATTTTAAAACTATCTATAAACAATTTTTATTCTCTATATACTATAGGCGATAATTATAGTAAAATTTTAATAAAGTAGCTACTAGTTTAACGCTCTCGTCTACGATTCTATAAAAGACTATATTATTATAAATTAGATTTAATATATCTATTATCTATTTCTACTAGTTAACGATATCGCTAAGATATTTCAGCGATATAGACTCGAACTTCGTATATAGAAATTCTCTTAAATTTCTGATAAATAACTCGTAGTAACTTCGTCTTAGTTCGACGTTATAGTCGAGTAAATCTCGAAGTAAAGAAATCTATTAATATCTAATATAATACTATAGAGACTTTTAAATTAGAAGTTTTTAAGTTCTATATATACGATCTTAACTATTTTACGCTAAAAAGATACTTTTAAGTCTCTAGATCGTCGTTAGTATTATTTAGTATTTAGCGTAAATACGCTTAAATAACTAATTTAGCTTTTAATATACTTAGATATACTCGAAGACTTATATTAATAATTTAATCTAGATATACTAAAATTAAATTATATTAATAACGAAATCTATAAATATATATAATAACTTTATACGTATTAATTTAATTAAAAAATTTCATATATAAAATTTATTCTTTATATAATTCTTTATAACTCTTATATATATATCTTTTTCTAATTATTATTATTTATTTATTTATAAGAAATTAAAAGTTTAAGTATATATTATTAATATATCTTAATAAACTAAGAGATATTAAAATCTCGAAAATTACGATTTAAAGATCTAAAAGTAAATTCTTAGCGTAAGATAGTTAAGATAGTATATACATAGCTTAAAAACTCCTAGTCTGAAACCCCCTTATGTGCCTGCAGGGCAAATATGTGCGGTGCCAAGCTACGCTAGTGTTATCTTATCAGATGGCCTTGGCATACCGTGACAAAATCGCGGGGTTGACCCCCTTATCAGTATGGGTTGCCGTACATAGACGCTACGGAAAGAGATGGTCTAGGTACTTTAGAAAGTATATAGGAACTTCACCTTGTTATGAGTGATGAAAAGGTTGAAAGGGAGAAGATGAAGCTATTCACTACTATTCTTGATGAGATATGTGCGACTTTCTCAGCGCCAAGGATTCCGGACCTTTGTACATACGCTGCTGCCAAGCCTCTGCAGAGGAGGCTGCTTGCTTTATTTTTAGAACATATTTCCAAATCTACATGATTAGCGGTGCATACTTAGTACTTACATATCTCTTAGATACCCTTATTGGTGTTATTGTAGTACTTCTTCCTGTCGTAATGCAGCAATGCTCATTTTTTCAGAAGTCGATCTGACAGTCTGAACCCTCAGCAGGTCAAAAGCATCCGAGGAATACTTCAAGTCCGCTGTGCAATTCTCTGGAAAAAAAAACCTGTAATTGAAATTTGGACCTTCGTCTGAAGTTTCCCTGATCGCTGCTAATAATCCTCACTGTTCTATTTAAGTATGTTCCGGATTTTAAGCTCCGAATTCTGCAGCCTTACTCTATCGGAGTCGGACTATAGGAAAATTTAGACACAAAAGAATCCTGAATCGCTGCAATGTCACAGATTCGCGAGAGTATAAGCACAAGAAAAAGCTCAGCTAGGAAGCTCATACGGCTATGCATACATCTGGGCTGCATGAAGGTGGGGCAATGTGAAAATAAGTAAGCGCATCAGGCACCAAATGTGAGTCCGTCTTACTACATACTGGAAGGAATCACTGCGAGCGCGCTTGGACAGCTGCTCGAACGAGCAATCTGTTCTGCAGCTGGCTGAGCAAGTCTGTTGCGTGCAGCATGGCTAAGCCCCATCTCTGTGCAAAACGCAACAAAATAATCAGAGGTCTCACAATGTCATGGATCCGGCGCACAAATCTTGCACACATATACTCTCACCATGCTGCCTGCCATGATTTAAAATCTACTAATCCAATCTCATTTTATTGAAATGACTCAGCTATCATTGGTGTTTTTCGATCGGTGATGACACCCCTTTCACCGTTCCTGTGCCTGTCCCTGTTTCTCTATGTCCGCGCTGAGATGAATAATTCCCGTCAGTCATCCCACCCCGAACACTGAATTCTGCGCATATCTTTAGTCTGAAGACTCAAGTCTATGCGCGGAATCGAATAGTGCCGAACATGTCAGTGCAGTGCAGCTTACTTTGAGATACAGTCAAGCAGCCTCCCCTTACAACTTTGTCAGCCAATGCCTCCAGTCAATTGTTCCCCAACATATCTTCGACCAGTGTTTCCAGACTTCCCATACATTATACCCTATGATATAACGCAAGACTGCGACATATACGGGTCCCCCCTGTCAGACTGGCTCCATAACAGTAGGAGTAAATCTGACCACCACGACTACAACTACTGTACTACCATGCTCGTCCTACCTCAGTGCACAGTTCTCATACATTTGGAATCAAACGTTTGCAGGCGTCCCTCAACAGAATGAGCCATAATGTCGAAAATTATGGGGGAAATGGCGAAGGTGACCCTTGGGGTACAAACTTTGGTCAAAGTCCGCAATGTAGATCCTACGCCGAGGCTATGGGCCGAGGACAATCCACATTTTCGGACTGTGCTATTAGCAATACGACCATTCAAACCGATGGAGGGCTTCCTGCAATTTATCTCTTGCAAAATATGCCCGGACTTGTACGTTATTTCGATTCAGGTGACACTGACGGTACGTGTTGCGGAAACTGCTCGCTGGATGTACCAGAAGTAAGGCTCTACTACTTCCCGGACAAGTCCACTGTCGACTGCCATAACAATCAGACGTCCAATTTCACCTCAAGCTTGCCAGCTCGAAATCTAGAAAAGCGAGTGCACCCACTTGTTGCAAGTGGGAGTACTGTTGTGGTCAGCGGACATACGTTGTAAGTAATGCATTTTCGTCATCAAAATTACCCGTGATTCTGACGCTTGCCGTAGTACTTCCCCATCGGTGTATCTTCAATTGGTGGGGACAGCCACTGTCACTGATCAATGTACGACCGTTGGCCCAATTTTGACCAATCAAATCATCACGCTCCCGCCCGGCGGGCTCTCGACATGGAGACCAGAGGCTGGTGTGTACTATAATCCCAATGAACCTAACGATATCATCGACAATTTCACAGTTGGAGAGGTCTGGTCCGATCCGACTGCTCAATATGAAGTGGGAATAATTCCTCAAGATATAAAACCGCTTAACATTCAAGATCTGGCATGTCCGACCTGGGGCCTGGGATTAAGTACATCCGCCAATGGCGACATAATTACCACTATTGGCTCGCCATGGCTTCCGCTCATCGTGCCACCCACGGAGATGTTCTCTCTCAATCCAACATGGGCGTCAGCATGTACTGGCATTTGGAGCGACCCTTTCACTTTGACTACTTTCGCTCTATTTGATCCGCCGGTTGCGTTAACACCTGCGGCGTTGCTTCTACCAACCCCACCTGCGCGTCCTACGCCTGCAGACCCGACAACGGTTCCAGAGGAGCAGGCTACACCCTCCGCCGAGGCCGCCAAGCCAGCATCTCTGCCCAACTATCCCGCAGCTTCTCCGACAAGAACGGGAGACCCTGGAAGAGGTAGCCCAACACATTCGCCCGTTATGGCCTCGGCCGACCCAGCCGGGTCAGCTTCTCTGCCTGCTATTCCAGCAGCCTTTCCATTTGACAAGGGCGACCCACCGTCAGATCCACCGTCAGACCCACCGTCAGATCCACCGTCAGGTTCACCGTCAGACCCCAAAGTACCTCCAGTTGACGGAGATCCGCCTTCATCTAGTGCCCCTGATCCGCCACCGGGTGATTCCCAAAACGCACCAACAGATTCCAAAGTACCTGTTGATCCAGTGCCACAACAAGATGAGAACCCTCAAGCACAGACTCAAGGCCTAGGAGCAATCATCTACAACGCGTTTGGGAGGTCGGACCCGAAATTGACGGATCCTCTACCAAGTCGTTGCCTCCTCAATCGATCTTCACCGTAGGCGCTCAAACCTTCACTGCCAATCCAACAGGCTTCAAAGTCAACAACGCAGCCATTTCTCCCGGTGGCGCCGCTCGAACCGTCGATGGTACGATACTCAGCCTCGGTCAATCAGGAGTTTTAGTCATAGGCAGCAGTACTGTCACCCTTACAATTCCATCTGCTACACCCGTGTTGGCAGTGGCAGGCCATACTTTCACACCAAATCCATCAGCTTTCTCCATAGCCGGGACCACCATCTCCGCAGGTGGTCCCGCTGTCACAGTTGATGGCACCACCATCAGCCTCGATCAGTCGGGAGCATTGGCTATCGGTAGCACGACCATCGCTCTCAAAACCCCACCGTCCTCTCCTTCTGCCAAAGAAGCATTCACTGCGGCAGGCCAGACCTTCACACCGGACCCCTCGGCTTTCTCCGTAGCCGGTACAATCATCTCAGCAGACGGCCCGGCCGTTACAATCAGTGGAACCATCATCAGCCTTGGCCAAAACGGAGCTTTGGAGATAGGCAGCAGTAACATCTCTCTTCCAACCCCACCAGATGCCTTCCCCAGCAAAGTATATACAGTCGCAGGCGAAACATTCACACCCAACCCCTCCGCGTTTTCAATAGACGGTACCACCATCTCAGCAGGTGGTCCCGCAGTCACAGTTGGTGGAACCATCATCAGCCTCGGTCAATCGGGAGCATTAGCTATAGGCAGCTCTACCGTCGACCTTCTTCCTTCTAGTAGCGCATACACAGTCGCAGGCCAAACATTCACACCCAACCCCTCCGTTTTTTCCAACGCAGGTACGACCATCTCAGCAGGCGGTCCAGCCGCTACCGTAAACGGTACCATCATCAGTCTCCAACCTTCTGGTACTCTGCTTGTGGGATCAAGCACGATCCCGCTCTTGACACCTCCGAGGACACCATTTTCATCTGATCCTGATGTTGACATCGATGGGTTCGATGTCAAAGTACAACCTTCCTCTGCCGTAGTGGATGGCGTAGCACTGAGTGCCGGCGCGGCCGGTGTCACCGTTTCCGGACAAATCGTCAGTCTGGAGGCTGGAGGTGCGACCTTGGATATCGGGACGGGGCGATTTGCACTGCCGACATGGACAGGGGCGGCGAATGGTTCGGTCGGTGCGCAGCCTTTTACGGGTGGGCAGAACAAGGGGTTGGAGTTGTCTTTGCTTTTGGTTTGTGGGGTTTGCGGGACGTTTACGCTGTTGATGTGACGGTGATGTTATGAGCGTTGTTCTTGTACGAGAAATATATTCCCCAAAAGCGAGTAGGGTAGATAGCATTTGCATTTGGAAAGGGAAGACGGCAGGTACGGGGATATAGTAGGAGCTCTGGAGCCGATTTTTGGTCGCTTTCGGGAAGTATGGCTTAAGCGGATATACCCACTATGTACACTCTTGGCTAGGGTATCAACTGGTCAGTATTTCCTTATCAAAAAGGTAGCTCTTTCAACGGCACGAGTAGCTAGAAAGATCGTGATCGCTCCCCCAGTCCCGGATATCGAGTCACCTGCATCACGGTCCTCGAATCCCCAGACAAACCCTGGTCCGTCGAGTTTTACCGAACATGTCCGGATTGCGCCCGAAACGGCAGCTCGCTGTTATGAGGTATGGAGTCGTCTTTCTTTATGTCCGAAATAGTTTCAAACACCGCTTATGGTTACAAAAGTGGAGCCAAACGGGCGCGGCGCGCTTATGTGATATCGGAGTCTAGCATAGCTGTCAAGCCTAGGATGTATGTTCGAATCTTTAAGAGACGTGAAGATTGCCACGTAGTATCGATGTATGAATCTGAGATTAGAGTCCAGTATAGGCGTTAAGCCTACATGTTTTACCTAAAACATATACCACAAGTGAAGAACTGCGACGTAGCTATAGCTTATTTATTCGAATATAGGCTTTGATAAAAGAACTGCACTCAGATACTCTGCTCAAAATTGATTTAGAAGGTGAAAAATGCGATGTAAGAACGGCTTAATGATCTCAAGCGAAAGACAATCCAGATTTCAAGCTTAAACACTCTGCTCAAAAACGACATGTCAGTCTTGTTATCATCTTCCTATATTGAAGGACATGCACAAGGCGCTTGACAGTCAATAGGCGTCTATAGCTTCCGCGAACCACCTAGATTTAGAGCTGTTAAAATCTCCAATTCTTCAGCAGCATGGTTCAGAACGGCATGCCGAAGACATCCTTTCCATGTTCCTCGGCTTCTACTAAAGGTTATATTGCCACCAGCTTTCGTTTTGTTTCTCTTCTACCGCTAGGAAAGCGTCTCTGATCCTAGCGATACTACAAGTTGTTGACTGATAGCTAGAAATGATATCTTTGAAAGCTCTCGGAAATACCATCGAGTTGACAACGGGGACCGTGATGGAGAATCATATCAGCCTTCTTCATATGCTGAGTATGGTTTGGGATTGTCGCCCGAAGGTTTTGGATGTGACATCATTGCAACCCCTTACCTTCCTTCACGAGCTTGATACCTTCCTCCTTGAGCTTGAATTTCTGTATTTTCCCGCTTGCGGTTTTAGGGTAGTTGTCGACCCAGAAGACGTACTTGGGTACTGAAGGTTCTGTATTAGCTTCATGCCCGCTCTTTCCTGTCGTCAGCAAATCATGAAAGACACCCAACATACCCAAATGATGACTCAGTTTCTCCCTAACCCACTTCCTCACCTCATCCGCCGTGACGCTTGTTCCGTCCTGCTTGACCACAAATGCAGCGACCACCTCTCCATACGTTTCATCGGTCAATCCAACCACACTGACCTCCTTCACTGCCTCAATCCCGAAGATACAATTTTCCACCTCCAATGGATGGATATTCTCCCCTCCTTTGATAATGATATCCTTAATCCTTCCCGTAATTTTAATGTACCCATCTTCATCCATCTCAGCCTCATCGCCTGTATGCATCCACACTTTGCCATCAACGTCAGCTATCATGACTTCCGCTGTTCGGTCAGGCGCACTCCAGTATTCTTTCATTACTAAATAGCCGTGGACTGCTAGTTCTCCCCTTTGGCCTACTGGAAGGGTTTTTGTGTGATCCATGGGGGCTACGACTTTAGCTTCGACGTGCGGGAGAAGCTTACCGACGCTATCGATCCGTTTCTCGAGAGGATCGTCTGTCGTTGTCATAGCAGAGACTGGACTGGTCTCTGTCATACCGTAGCAGATAGTCAATTCTGTTAGATTGAGTATCTTATGCAACTTCCGCATGAGCTCGGCTGGGATGCTTGAGCCAGCTGCGATGCCAGTCCTCAGGTGCTCGAACCCTGTATATGGTACTCTGTTACTTTGCAGCAGCTCCAGTTCGGCAATGAACATTGTTGGGACGCCATAAAGAGCCGTACATTTCTCTTCTTGCACAGCTTTTAATGTGGCGTAAGGATCGAATGCTTCAGTAGGGAAAACTATGGCAGAGCCATGGGTTGCGGTGGCCATGTAGCCGAGTATGCAGCCAAAGCAATGGAAGAGTGGTGGCGGACAGCAGACTGTATCTTGCTCTGTGAGAAGCATACGGTCGCCGATACTTTTGCCATTGTTGAGGATCGAGTGGTGAGTTAGACAGGCGGCTTTGGGGAGAGAAGTTGTGCCTGAGGTGAACTGAATGTTTACTATTTCATCTGGATGTAGGAACTGCTTTGGTAGGGAGCTCGGCTCGGAGCCTTCGGAGAGGACGATGTTATAGTTGACGGTGGGTCTGAGAAGCGATGGATCTATACGCCCCTGGGAATTGTCGACAATGATCACTTTTTGGAGAGACGGCACGGCTTCTGACTCGATCTTTCGGCCTTGAAGATCGGGTATCAACTGCCGAAGCAGCTGGATATTTGAGCGGGGCTCTTTGCGCGGTAAATGAGTCTCGGTACCAATGATTAAATGTGAGGCCTCAAGGTGGGCCAAAGCTGCTATGACTTGCTGGGCGTTGAAGCCAGGGTTCAGTGGCACCTTGTGCTAATGAGCTTTGCGTGTACGTCGACTCGAGAGAGACTCAAGTGAGGCTCAGCAAGGACCATGGGCTCACAAGTATTCCACCAATCTTGAAGAGGCCGTATGTTGCCTCGCGCCCTATCAGCCCCGTAGTCTCGTGCCTATTCCGAGGCCTCGTACAATGGCATACTCAATATTGTTCCCTAGCGACACAGCGACTCGGTCGCCCCTTTTCACCCCTCTTTGCAATAAACCCCGTGCCAAGTCATTGCTCTTTCTGTCGAGCCCGTCATATGTCAGGCGCGTTCGTTGATGGCGAGAGACGACTCTGGGCTACACGTCAAGCAACGTCCAATCGTGACTATCCCCGGAGCTTACGCTGTACGGTCACCGTACCGAGAGACGATCGAATCGAAATGCTCGCCCACAGTTTGCTCGAGTAACGGAGGCTATTCAAGGTGAGTCATCAGACACGCAGCGAAGCGCCTGACTTACCTCTGAGGGACCTCGAGAATATGACTGGGTCAGCAAGCCTCGACGACCCTTCCGGAAGTTGACTCGCGCAACGTTGATGAATGATGTTGGAGCTGGCCGCATGGTCAATGGGCATCGTCGCCATTGAGCTGCAGCAGCGTTAGATCTATAAAGACGGAGGATGGCGATGGCGATTAGAGATGTTTTAGGCTTCGAAGCGGGGAACGTCTTTAGTCATCGCCAAGCCTTTTCCCATCAAGCCAAATTTTCTTGGCCCACCAAGTTTTGGATTCAGAAACAGTCGTGATAGTGGTTGACTTTGGAAAATCTCCCAAATCTGATTATAACCGTCTACTCGTATCAACGAACCCATAGTTCTTGTCTGCTTGTGCTTTCCTTTTTTATTAGCTTTCGCAACACTCCCTTTCAGCAACCATCTACGAGTAGGTCGAAATATCTCCTTCGAAGCTTCCAATCTTCACTGAAATCTTTTCCTCTGAATTAATCAGACTTAAGAGAGGATTCCAGGACATCGCACGTCTTTCCAAAGATGAGCACGATTCCCAGACGAAGGTACGTAACATGTCTCTTTGTCATATCGTAACGTGGAAAAGTCCCAGCGTTCCGGAATATACATGCGCCAACCTTTCCCCATAGCGCCCTTAATGTTCCCATCAACAGTGGATTGGAAAGATAGAAGCACATCGCCCCCAACTCCATTACTGCACCCTCTCCCCCCCAACGAAACCCACCTTTACCCCATTCCGACTCTGTAAGGAAAACATGTACTCCTCCACGAACTCCTCCACGGGATCCCTGTTCAAGATGCCCTCAAACTCTCCCCACAAATCGCGCCAACACAAACCCCATCTGACACAAAACCATCTGCTGCGCCGGACAAATCCTTCCCCCACCCAGAAACGGCACATAAGTCCAACCCGGTCGCAGATTCCCCTCGATCCAGCGCTCGGGACGGAAGGCTTCGGCGTCGGATCCCCAGATGCTGGTATCGCGCTGCATGATGCCGAAGTGGGAGTCAACGTGGGTGCCGGGGAGGACGAGGATGGGGGAGGAACCATCAGGTCCGCCGCCAAGAGGGAGGGTGGTGGTGTGAGTGCATGTACGGCGGGAGACGGAGGCGGGGGGCGAGGAGGCGAAGACCTATGTGCGCGGGAAAGAAAGAAGTATTATGAAAACTGTTTTAAAGGATGGTGGACTGGTGTTTGACCTGGGTACTTTGCTTACTTTCATTCAGGACAGCTTGGAGATATTTCATACTCTTCAGACTCTCAAACGTGATCGGTTCGTCGTGACTGAGGACCTCGACACGTAACTTAGCCCAGACGCGTGGATTTCGGGCCAGCTGGAAGAAGAGGTCGCTGATTGCGATGGCGTTTGCATCCCGGGCGGGAAAGAAGAGACTGATTATTTGGTCGCGGATGAACTGGCGGTCATTTGTCTCCTTGACCAGCTCATGTAGGAACGAGACCGGCTGTTTCTGATCCGCTGGGATAGTACTATCGGCATGGGCCGTGTCATAGCTCTGTTGCGGTGAGGAAGTTGCCTCGCTGTCGCATTTTTTGGATAGAGCGCGCTCGATATATCTATCGACGACGGCGTGGGTTTCTGCACATGCCTCTTTCCACTCTCGATCTCTTGTAACGCGACCCCATAGGAAGCTTAGACCCCGAAGCGACATACGTCGGTCTACGCCTAGCATTGCTCGGTCGAAGGAGGCGAGGAACTTCTCAGCGTCTAGTTTGGAGGAATGGGGAAGTAGAGTATCGGCAGATTCGGCGAACAGAAAGTCTGTGGATGTGTCGAGAAACTTAGGAAAGGAAACCATCAGCTTTACCTGCCAGCGTCCTCAATCGACTCGCGCATTTTAATGTACTTGAAGAATACTCGGTCACGAAAACATCACTCCAACTCACCAGCCTCCTCAAAAGCGGCCTCAAATCCACCGTCTCCCCATTCCCCGGCACAAGTTCCATCATCCTCTCTAGATGCTCCCCAAACCTTTTCAAGTCCGCTATCTGCTTCCGCGCAAAAATCGGCATAACAATCTTCCTCGCGTGTTTCCAAATCTCGCCATCAGAAACAAAAACTCCCTCTCCAATCCAGCTTGCATTGGCTTGCTTCCTGATACCTTCAACGCCGAAGTTCTCGAACTCCGTTGTATTGATAGCTTGGATATTCTCTACGTCAGAGGTGTAGATTACGGTTTGACCGAAGACGTGGGTTTCAAATGTCTTTCCGTAGCGGTGAAAGAAGCCTTGAAGCGTATTCCTATAGTCGCCTTTAGCTTTGGTCGCCACAGTCTTTCTGTACAGGTCTAGCCCAAATATTGGGTCTTTGTGATGGTATTGTCGTGGGCGGCCGCACGTATAGCGCTTCATTAAGCGCCAGTATTGGAGGCTGGCTCTGGTCTTTTGGACCGCGAGATACAGAAAAGCAAGAAATAAGAGCCGCAGGCTAAAGCTGCTAGCTAAATCCATTTCTGCGATGAGAGTGAAAGGTCCAAATATTGACTTGAGCTGGTGACGACCAGTTGAGGTTCGGAATTTATCCCCACATTTTTCTTAGTCATCCGAATCCTCTGCAGGTCACAATTCACGCTCCATTGTGGCCGTCAGGGAGGCCGTAAGATGGACTTCACAATTCATATAGCACACTCATCTAAGGTCAAGAAGAACATCATTTAACCTTTAGATATCATGCATCTTTTCACTCATTATTCATACCCCGATCCAGCTCCTTGCAGTTACAACAACATCACCACACAACACACCATCCACCACCCAGATTTTCCTAAACCGCATTCCCATATTGCCCTCGAAAAGTAAGCCAACAAGGGCTCCTCGAACTCCACTGCACTTTCCATATCGTAAGAGCATGTAGCAAAAGTCATACCGAGAGGTTTGAGTCCCGTTCGCAACAGGAGAAAGCTCTCTTTCTTCACCATGTGGGCACATCTTTGTGGGTATCGATCAGAACAAATCAGTTCTCTCTGTCAAAGGATACCAAAGTAAACAGAGTTAGTCGTATTCAACTCCCTTGCAGGTACAATAACGACTTTTACTTGGGGAAAAGTTCGTAAACAGGATCTCCAATTTTCGGCACCAGGTCTGGAGTTTACGACTTCAATAATTGTACTTGGACTTTTCGCTCTCGATGTATGAATTTGCTACCTTCCCTACATAGCGAACGTATCCACGGCCCCCACACCCCCCCATTCTCCCTCTCTTTCCTCATAACCGAAACATCCGCCTCCACCCCCCGATTCTGCTACACCTTCGGCAAGAAGAGAATCTACAAAGTCGACCAGATGGTATTTGGAAGGATTTTTCGATGTGTTTGTTCTCGTGATCACTCAATAACTTCTAGTGTCACTGATTCCAGAGAGGGAAGTTGAAGGATCAAGCGGCTGCAAGTTTAGCTGCATAGAACTTTTCCCCTCCTGCGCCTAAGCCTGTTAGCTCACTGGGGATAGAGCCGCTCCACCCTTCAGTAATACCAAGCAGCCATTCAAACCTGATGGTTTATATGCGTTATGTAGCCTTATGGAGGAAGTAAAGGGAGGAAGAAAGGAAAATTGGACCCACCCAATATTCATAGGTTGCGCAGGTAAGAACAACGCAGAAGGACGGATCCGACTACTGTAGGTTGCCTGGTTTGCGAGATCCTGTCGTTTCCCTAAGCCCGGAGGTGTATCCATTTGCAAATAGACGAAAGATCTCATGACCAGATAAAATGAATGCAGAAGTCTGAAAGATAATTCGTTCAGGGTGCAGGACGGGTTGAGTGAGGCTGACTGAGGCTATCAGGTACGCTTATGTTCATACGTGAGACGGACTTCGAAACCTTGAGACGGCTTACACATTGACCTGTACCCACATATCTATCAACACGGATGCCCCTTGACATTGATTCTGCCTCGACACTGTTGCACACATCACTCAAGTAGATTCTTTCCAGGATCAGAATCAACAAACAACTCTGATTTTCTAGATCGGCAGCTCTGGTCAGCAAAGCAGTCCAGCCAGCTTTTCCACAGCAGAAGCTCGAATCACTTCAGGAAATGCCGACCCAGTCCTCCCCCCCAGGGGCTCAAAAGCTCCGAAGCACCGTCCGCAAGCTCGTCAAGAAAATCAAACCTCCCAAGGAAGGACCCATGCCGGGGGAACTCGACTCCACGGAAGTGCAGCTGGCCAGGTTCTTCGGCAAGCCTGTTGCTATTGCCTCCATAGCCAGCATGGAACATCCGTCACCGGCACCCTCACTCGCTTCATCATGCCCAACGGAGCAGTCTTGCGACGGATTCATACAATTCGGATATAGCGTCCGACTCCACCCGGACAGCGCACGTCACGGACCAGGAGATAGCAGAGGGAACGCAGGAGATGCTGCTGTGAGTGGAACTAATCGATTTAAGATATCACACTGGTCAGTCGTGATCAAGGTACTGACTCCGTGACGTAGGGACATTCGGCCGCTGTAGGGACGACGATTTCCTAGAAGGAGGATGGCAGTTTTGGAAGCGGTTTCTGGCAGAGGATTCTCGTTCGAGGACATCTCGATCAGCAGTGCGTTTCGAATGGCAAGGACCATGGGTTGTGTATGAACAGCAGTGAGAAGCAATGGAAACGGCGTTCCAGGTGGGAGTCACTTAATCTCATGCCTTATTCTGGGCAAGCATTGTATCTCCCCCAATTTTCGACTCCACTTCTCATGAACCATCCCAACCCCAACTCACGTCACGCTCTAACGCGACGCGAAACTTCCCCTCCCGAGCGTAAGCCCCCCCTGGTCCAAATTGTCCCCTTTCATCCACAAACTGCATATCAATCTCCACAAACCCATAGTCAACTCCCACCAGCATCAACCCCGCGAACCAGAATCCCAGATACCCATGATTCAACTGCGCTTACGGCATCTTCGTCACCGTCACAGAGCCATAGCTGAAGAAGCGGGTGGCGTCCAACCTAGGTGATTTCCATCTCTGGTTAGCTGTTGCAGTAAAGGAATATGAGAGACGCAAGACGGAGGGGGGAGGTTATTTGTGAATACAGGAACATCGGGATCTTGGGTATTTAGCACCATCTCCCGCATGATAACCACTGGTGCTTTCAGCAGCGCTTGTATGGCGTCGGCCCGCGAAATGGAATGGCCGTAGTCTGTGAACATGATGTGCTCATTGGAAAATTCCTAGTCGGGTGGGACGTGGTAGCGGAAGGGCTCGGGAGGGAAGCTGAGGCTGGGATAGGGGTCAATGCTGTAGTTGTGATCGGTGAGGATGACTGGGTAAGTATACAGGGAGGGCGGTTTACTTCTTTGAAGGGTTCCGAGATCAGAGGGTGGTATTCGACGGGTTAGGGAGATTTTGTCCGTTGAGAGAGATCGTCAAGGCTGAGAGTGAGTCAACGAGCAAGGCAGGCACAAAGGTGTGCAAGACCTGAAGGTAACCCATCTCCACGGTCGATTGCTGAGCGTTGTAGAGAAAGTTTTGAGCGCTGGAAAGGGAAGCAAGGACTGCAAAGCAGCAGATAATGCGAAACTGGTGACGATCTGAACGTTGGCCGCATACATGGTCAAAAGAGTGCTACAAAGAAGAGGCAAGCGCACAACGCTGGAGATCGCAGCTCGAGATTCTACTTCCGCAAGAGGGCATGAGCTGTTCTAAGCGACTGATGGAGGTCAGGGTGTCAATGCAGCGCACGTTTCCTTTTGTATAGTGTATGATGATAAGCTTCGCTAATGCTTGACCGTTTAACTGTACAATCATTGACCTCCCAACTCTGCTTCAGGTCGATTGGTTTCAACAGCCGCCTTCGAAGGCGAACCCATCTCGTCCTGAACGCCTTTCTTTTCCTGAACCGCCTGCTTCAGTATCCCCAACTTCTCCTCTGTAATCCTGATCGCATGATCAACCTCCCTCTCACTCATTTTCACATCCGCTAGCTTCGAGCGCAAGCCTTTGTTTCTCAAGCTCTGCTCTCTTTGTCTTCTTGCCTGAGCAACTACGTCTTGATCACTGCTTCCTGGGTATGCTGCGCCTTGCATACCAACGCGCTCCTCCAGCCAGTCCCACAAGTCGCTCTCTTCTTTACGCCAGATTTCCTCGTACGCCGCAATTCTCTGTGCAGTGGGAATGTAGGCTAAGCTGTTGCCCGATGTGGAGGATCGAGGACCACGTAACCAATTGAACAGTATGATAAATAGGAGAAAGCCGATTACCATATTCGAGCTGATCATTGGACTGAATATATCGACAACGGGACCTAGAATACCATGCAAAGGCTCGAACAGTCCCCATGAGCTGTCTTTCGGTTGAGTACCAGTGGCGACAGCTTTGACGCTCGCTGGAGATGTCCGCGCAAGGTCGGCATCTCCCTTTCTGCGTTTACCTTTTGACTTGAGCTTCGAGCCGTTGGTACCAGCTCTCGGTCTAGACGTGACGCCTGCTTTCAAGGCTTTGACTAGGTCGTTGCAGTATGTTGTCTGTCCATCATTCGCGCCTTTCTCGATTGGTCCTGTCACAGCTGTGTCAGCTACGATGTCTGCATGAGTACATTACACGTATTGATCTACCTTTGAGCCAACTCTTACCAGTCCATTCAATTGTAAAATTGATGACCAGCCTCGTGGCGTTACCTGGTGCCCACATTAGACAGAAATGGGTTTTAGTGGCAAAAAGGTTGCCGCTGGGCACATCAGGGGTTTGGGTAGACTGTGTTACGATAACTGCTTTCTCCAGGTCGAAAGAGTCCAAAGTCTCGGTGACGACACACTTCGTTGATTTGGGGCCAATCGAGGCGTTGAGCGGCTTGATGTAGGAATAGTTGCGGGTTCTATTGTCTTCCGAGAGACCTTTCTTATCATCCTCCATTGTGAGGTCCGTTACCTTGATCTCATCAAGAAGCCATTTGGCCATAAAGCCTCCAGATGCGGCGCCAAAAACCATAGCATAGACTTTGCCTAGGGGGGCTGGGATAATGTCATCCTGGAGAGGCCTCTCATAGTGGGAACCTCCATCGCCGCACTCGGTTGGCGCGTGTGTCGCTGGACCTGGAAAGTCGGCGCTTGCAGCACTCGCGGCTGCGGCTTTTTCGCCTGCCTTTGACTCGCTCGGAGTAGGCCCGCCACCGGCTGCAGCACCAGCTGCCACACCCATCGCCGACGCTTTCCGAGTGACTGCTTTGGATTGTTGATCAGCCGCAAGCTCACTGCCAGCAATACTGCCCTCAGGCACCTCAGTGAAGCTGCCGGTTCCTTCATCATCGTCTTCGTCTTCATCATAAATTTCCTCCTCTTCGTCGCTGACTTCACTGGCTTCATCACTACCACTAGGATCGACCTTTTCAGTCTTATCACCCGTCCCGCCTTCAAGTCTTACACCGTTGAGTGAGCTCTTGAGTGACGGGTGGTTAATCTTCCAGATACCAATTAACAGATCGTAGGTCGCTTCTCGGCTGAGTAGACTTCGGAAGGTCTGTCTTGCATGTAGGGTCTGGATGGCGATAGCATTGGGGAACACCATTGCGGTGTTCTCTTTTTCCACAGACACAATCTCGTCGAAGCTGATGATCAGCGTAGTCACCCAGCCAAGGATATTGCTGGAAAAACATATATGGCCTTCAGAGACATATATCCTCCCAGCCAAGATAATGTCTCGCTGCAGAGCACAGCTGTAATCCTCAATGAGATAGTCGTCTTCTGGGACGCTACGAAACAGCTGGTGGAAATCGCGATTACGTTTTTTGCTTGCTACAGCAAAGCCGGTAGGTTTGGCAGTACCGCCTGAGGCCGCTGGATTTGCTAAGGCTGCGCTGCCTGCTGCTATGGCGGCAGCAATGGTACCACCCGTGGCAGAAGAGCTATTCCGGTGTCGTTTAGCGATGGTACCGACTCGGCTACGAACGCTGCCACTGCGCCGAAAACCATTATTTCCTTCATACACACTCCCATTCGGAGGGGTCTTGTCACCCGTCATAATACTTGATTCGTAGGTTGATCTTGGTCTGACAATAGGGGCCACGTCTTCAGCAACGGGTGTTGACGCATTCTCTTCCGTTGGCTTTAGGCTATAAGCCTGAGAGACAGCACGGGCAGCAGAAACGTTCTCTACTTGAGCAGCAGCTTCTTCCCGCTGGACCGTCGAACCTTCTCGACCATTTTCAGACAAGCCGTTCGGAAGTGTAGTGGTGGAACCAGTGTTCGCAAGAGGTGCATCGGAGCCTATCCCTAAGTGGCTCAAACTTAGATCACCAGCACCTAGTGTCTCCACCGCTAGCTTCTTTTGCTCGTTCACGGGCGCATCTTCTGCTACCATAGCCGTCACTCCATCGGTCTGCTCATCGTCGTTCTCTTCAATTGTCTGTGTAGAGCTTCTTGACCTTGTCTGATTATTTGCAATTGTGCTGCTCAATTGATTGGCTGCATTCTGGGCGGCTGAAAAGACAGACGAGAAGAATCCTCCAGCCTGCGAGCCTTGAGACGGGGTTCGGGCACCTGGAGTTCTCTCTTCAGCCATGGGTGTGAGCGGAGCAGACATCACGTTCGACAGCTTGCTTGACGCCAGGGTGCCCGAATCGGACCTGACGCGACGGTGAGCGATCGTGTTATTGGAAGAAGATACGGCCATATTCGGATTCGTCCTTGCGGCGCCTGCAGCCATAGTCTTTAGTGATGGACTACTCGGTACATCTTGGCGTTGGTCGATTGGTGTTGGGGGCGTGACATGCGTTTGCGGAGGGTCGAGCGAGGCACTTGTAGGCGTATTGGGAGTTGTGACAATGGTAGGGAGATCTCGTACACTGGCAGAAGGGCTTTGCAGATTCGAGGCTACCGACTCTTTGCTGTCCGAAGCCTTGGAAGATCTTCCCAGGTTGATACTGTTCCTCTTGTCTTTGCTGAATAAAGCTTGGAGAGCATTTCCGCTACCAGAAGATATCACTGACGCGCGATCTGGGCTCTTTGGCGGACTTGAGTCTTTTTTCCTGGATCCAACCGTAAATACATCTTTTATTCTTGCACCTGGCGAGACCCCTCGGCTCTTACTGCCATCTCTAGTGCTAAGAGTTCTCCCACCATCCCTAGTGTCCATCGTAGGAGCATAGTTGGGTGCCAGGTTTGTGGTTGAGAATGTGGTACCACCTGTCACCGGTAGCGTGGCAGACTTTTGATATTGAGGGTTCTGGAAAGTGGGACTGTCGAGTTGAAGATTGCTGGGTGTGTCGCCGGGTGTGGTGGTGTTGATCAAGGGCGAGGAGGATGTCAAGAAGCCAATATGCGATTGATGGCTTACGAGCGGAGGAGGCGAGACAGTAGGTCTTCGTTAAGATACCAGATTAGCACAGAAGGATCCCATGTATCAACAATCAGGCGCCGGATACTACTCCAAGACAAGGCTTCGCAGAAGCCGCCAAAGGACTTGGGTAAGAATGAACAAATTGAAGCAATGGCAAAGAAATAGGGTGGGTCTGTAAAATGAATCTCGAGATATGTGCTCTAGGTGTTATTGCGTCTGCAGCTGAAGTGCGAGGTATGTACCCCTGCGGATTGCGGACGTGCGCTTACGCCTCTCAGGTCTCAGGGTCGCCGAAGGCTTGGCAAGCCTGGAAGACAAGAAGAGTGGGCCTACTTACGGTTCAGTTTCCGATTCAATGGTGATCAGACTTCCGCCATCTTCATCCTCATCTTCTCCCACTGCACTTCGACTTCTGTTGTTGCCAGAGAGCGCTGATGGCTCTGCGGATGTTGCAGTCTGTCCATCGGCGCTGCGCCCACGCGTGTCAGCCGTCTCCTGCTGTAGCTGCTGCTGCTCCGCCTCCTCGCGCTTCCTTCTCTTCTTCTTGACGCGGCCTGGTATCAGTTTCGACAGATTGCTTGGTCCTGAAGGAAGTCCATCGTCGAGACTGCTTCCTCTGCTATCGCGTACTTTGTCCATCAACGAATCCACCGAGTTCCTGATCCCGCCTCGTTCGCTGACTTCATCAGAAACGCTGGAGCCATTGAGAGAAGTGGTGGATGGGGCATCCTTGCGCCCGAGTTTGGCTTTGGCAACGAGTCCCTTGAAGCCTCTTGGCTCAGATACTGATGGCGCCGGAGATATGGATGTGGCCGAGCTCTCCATTGAAAGGGGCCCCTGGGGCGGGAGGTGTAGAGATGTGTAGAGCTATTGCATAATGTAGTAACCTAGGAAGCACGATCAAGGCGCATAGGGCTAGAGTAGGTCAAAAGAGTGAATGGTTGCTCGCAATGTTGTCACCGGTCGATGAGAGTGGCCTCGGTCTTGGAACTTCGTGGCCAGGGTAAATTCTAGTTGACCTGGCTGTTGTGGCTGAAGCTAGCTGATCTACAAGCAAAGCCACCTTTCTTTTCACACGCTAATCTATATGTAGCATACAGAAATCAAAATACTAAACTAGTAATTTACGTATTTATATCAAAGTATTTAAGTTATATAAGTTTAAATTTATAAATTAAATTATAAAAATTAATTAATTTTTAAATCTAATTTCGAGATTAAATTTAACTCTCGAAGAGTAAAAATATTTTAATTTAAGATTTATTTTAATTATAAGATTAAACTTTATAACTTTTTCTTTATTAAAAGACGTAAATTAAGTTCTATAATAATAATAGAAATTATAAAGTTTTAATAGAAAAAAAAAATAAAAAAAAAAAAAAAAAAAAAAAAAAAAAAAAAAAAAAAAAAAAAAAAAAAAAAAAAAAAAAAAAAAAAAAAAAAAAAAAAAAAAAAAAAAAAAAAAAAAAAAAAAAAAAATTTTTAAAAAAAAAAAAAAAAAAAAAAAAAAAAAAATTTTAAAAATATAAAAAAAAAAAAAAAAAAAAAAAAAAAAAAAAAAAAAAAAAAAAAAAAAAAAAAAAAAAAAAAAAAAAAAAAAAAAAAAAAAAAAAAAAAAAAAAAAAATTATAAAGTTTAATTTACTATTAATAAAGCGAAGTAGTATTTAGATATAATTATACGAAACGCGTTCGAGATCGAATAATCCTTTTATCTATTTGTGTAACTATTATTCTTCTATCTCTCTATTAATTCTATTAATTCTACTAAGATGAATATATTTATTCTTAATACCCCTCACTTAAAGGTTACTAAACGTCTAAGGCATATACACCCCTTTTTCCCGCCTCTTAGAGCCTCTACTGACGCCTTCAGGCCGCCCCTCGGCGAATTCGCTACTACTGGCAATCGAGGCCGTAAGCGAGTTTAATAGCTATCTACTACTAGCCATAAACGCGCTGAAAGACCCTTTAAAAGAGCCCGAACGACGGATATATCCTCCTCTACAGATTTCTTTCAAGCCAGCGGTAGTGCCTTCTAACCTAGCGATGCTATCTTTCAAAACGCGTCTTCCTCCCTTACCCGTTCTTTATCACCCTATTTTAAAGCCTCTTAACGCGTGTTAGATTCTGAACATCGTTAAGAAGAAGCTCCTAAACGAGAGGAAGACGCTATCGAAGATTCTCTGTTGCGAGACCTATTAGTAGACTTCTTTAATAACGATTTCGATAGTCTACGTCCTTTTAGCCCATCTTCTAACTCTTATTTAGATTTTACTTAGCCTTCAATAAGACTTACTAGCTATACCGCGCGTTATCTATATATTATAAAGCTTATACGATATAATTTAGATTCTATAGACTAGATTTATAACCGCTACGATATAATATTATAAAAAGATAAAATAGTCGAGTAGTACTACGATAGCGAAAAGACTAAAGTTAATATATCTAAAATAGACGAGATAAACGATATAGAATAAGGTTATAAGAGCGTCGAAACGAGTATAAACGATTTAATTAATCTTAGCGAGTATACTATTAATTAAATCCTTTACTCTTTAATATTAAAGATCTCGAATCTTATTAATAATAATAAAGAATTTCGTCGCTATAGCGTTTAGTATAATAATACGATCTCTATAGTCTTATAGTAGATTATTATTAATTATTTAATCGTTCTATATATATATAAAATTTAGAAAGTAATTACTATTCATATATCTACTCTAACGTCTTTCGAGAGCGAAAAATCGATATTTAGTTAAATCTATATTATAGATAATATCTAAGATTAGTTTATAATACGATATAACTTTCTCTTAGCCGCGTTTTCTATACTAATTTTACTAGATATAGCTATTATAATTATATTAATTAGATACTTTATTATAAAATAGTTATAAATCTTAGAAGTATTAATTTCTATATTAACGCTCTTAAATCGATATCTGAAAGATTAAAGATTAATTCGAATATATAGGGCTATAAGCTACTCTATAAGAACTTATAATATTATAATCTATATATCTATAATCGTCTTATTTTAGATAAGATTACTATCGCTTAGAAGAGTAATATCGATAATCTATTAAATATATCTAAGATTAGAAATATATTAATAGAGGCTCGAAGTAGTAAGAGATTTAGTATTTTATATTAATATCTAGCCTATATACTCTTACGCTATTCTCTTATCTTCTTATTTAGCGAATAGTTATAATATAATAATATATTTAATATAGATATTATATTAAATAAAAGTCTTCTTATCTAGCGAAGTAGAAACGGCGAAGTTATTTTATAAGTTAAAGAAACTATCGAATAAGGTAGTTCTAAATGAGTAACGCTTATCTTATATTATAAGTCTATCTTATCTATTTCTTCTATTCTATTAATTACTAACTTCTTATAGATATATAATATAGAGTTATTCTAGTAAGTTTAATCGTTTTCTTTACTATAATAGATTACTATAGTATTTTATCTACGATATCTATATAGCTATTAAAAGTAATAAATTTTACTAGCTAAAGATAAATTAGAAGATTATTCGAGCTAATATCTATTAAGTAATTATTAATACTTATATCGATAAAGCTATTATAGATAATTAGACTAATAAATAACGTATTATTCTCTCTTTCTTCTATTAAGAAGATCTATAATTTATAAAATAACTCTATTAGAATATTATTACCCTATTTACTAAGTTTAATTAATTAAATCTCTTTACGACTTTCATCTATAACTTAAAATGAATTAAGATTATCGAAAATCTTTTATTTAATAAACGCGTTATTAATCGACTTAATCTAATTACTAAGATATTTAGACTAAAGCTAAAGATTTTAATAAATAATATTCTAAAGAAGAAGATACTAGATATACTTTTATTCTTCTTATCTTTTATTATAGTATAGTAGCTCTTCTCTATTTTATCTAATAGAATAGCCTCTTAGACGATATATTAATTAGACAATTAGTATAGATTATAGTCTCTAGAGATATTTCTAATATAGTTTAATCTATTATACGCCGTAATTTCTATCGATTAGCTCTACGATATTATCTATTTTTTTTTCACCTCTATAAGAGCGAAGTACGGTCGGTTGAAATATCGATTAGCTTTAATTCTAACTGACTTTGCGGGTAATAGGTCGAGTTTCAGCCTATATCTATATTATTTTTTTTAAAAACGAGGCCTATCGTATATCTATATTCTTATTATTTTATACTCTAAAGATCGATTCTTTAGTGTCGCTAAGGTCGACGTCGTTATTAGTGTTAAGATCTCTAATTAAAGACTATTTTCTAATCTCTATACGATCGTTATTAGATATATACTCTATAAAAATTATAGTTAATATACTACTAGTAGAATAGATATTATTTCATCTTATTAAGACTTAGATAAGAACGTATATAATAAATAGTTTTCGAAGAACTTTAGCGATTATATCGTCTTTAAACTAGATTTTAAATACTTTATATATTATCGACGTAGGTTTATTAAGATATTAGATAATAAATTTAAATAGAATTATTAGATGATATTTTATTCGATAACCGCTCAGACCGAGGCAACAAATTAGCGTGGTTTTTCTCCGCGTCTCAACTACGCGACTTTTTTTATTCTTTATAATAACTCTACTATATCAAGTTCAATATGGCTAAAATTACTACTCTGCCTACTCCTAATAAGAAAGAATTAGATCGAGTTATAAAACGTTAGAAAAGAGACGCCTAGATTAATATAAGAAAGGAGAAACTTAAATAGCGTAATATTCTTCTTTAGAGTATATCTTTACTATTAGAGTATTAGTTAATAAAAATTAAGTATCGTATAGCTATTAGTTACCTTTTAAGCGATATAGAAATTACTTTATATACGATATTTAGTCTTATATAGACTACTACTATCTAGAATATACTTTATAGAAATATTAATTTATATATCTCTCTATAGAGTACTTTAGATTCTATCTAAAAGCTTATTAATATTTCGAAGCTAAAAATCTTCGTCGCTATTATAATCTATATGAAAATCTTTTATTTTTCTACTATTTATAATTATTGAAGAACTAATAGAATTACTTCGATAGCTTTATTAATTACTAGAAATATAACTCGAAATCGCTATATTCTTCTTCGAAAATTTATTTATTACTTAGATTCTATCGAAGAGAACTTTAGAATTATTAAAATAGATAGATATAAATAGTCTATATGATATAAAAAGCTTTAGTTATTTACGAGTAAGATACGAAGTAATTAAAAGAAGCTTTATACTCTAAGTTCTTATATCGCAATTAATAAATATATAATTAAGAAGACGAGATATATATATTATTCTATAATAGCTTTAGATAAGTTAATTAAGAAGGAATATAAGCTTTTCGTAATTGGCGATAAGAGCTATATCTATAATTATATCTAATATTCTTCTATATAAGATCTTAAAAGTAGATTAAAAGTTAAGAATCTTAGAGATATATTAGCTATAATATTTAAATTAGCTACTAATATACTACTTCGTAACTCTATTCTCTTTATAAATAATTATTTTATCGAATCTAAGCTAACTATAGCTCTAAAAGATAGAGGAATTACGATATATAGAATTATAAAGCTAAATCGATTAAATCTCTCAAAATTGCTTATAGAGATAAAATAAGTCTTTATAAGGAATATTTCGTACGAAGTTCTCGCTATAATAGTTTAGAATAATATATTAATAATAGTCTAATAAGATAATAATCTCGTTCTAGTTCTAATTACTATATATAGTATAAGAGAGATTAATAACTCTATCTTTAAAAAGAG